GTTGATATTATTGGATTTATCTAATAATAAACTTAGTGGCGCAATACCACAACAAGTTATCGGCCTCCCGTCCTTATCACAGCTTTTGAACTTGTCGACGAACAACTTTACGGGTTCTCTTCCGATGGAGGTTGGAAAGTTGAAGAGTCTGGGTGTACTGGACGTTTCTAATAACATGTTATCCGGAGAACTTCCTAGTAGCCTTGGTTCCTGTGAGAGTTTAGAAGTCTTACACTTGCAAGACAACTTCTTCAAGGGGTATATTCCCTCATCTATGATCGGGATGAAAGCCTTAGAAGAATTAGACCTTTCTCGCAACAATTTATCGGGTGAAATTCCAAAATTCTTAGAGGGCTTTGTCTTGTTGAAGAAACTAGACCTCTCATTCAATGAATTTTGGGGAGCGGTACCAACTGGAGGAGGTGCATTTAAAAATGCAAGTGCGATTTCAATTACTGGCAACACCAAGCTCTGCGGGGGAATTGCTAATCTCCAACTGCCCAAGTGCAAGTCCCAAAAAGGAGGATCATCTCGTAGCTCGAAATTAACAATCCCGTTAGTACTTTCCGGACTTGCTCTTCTTGTAATAGTTATGGTGATGTCCTATTTCTTCCTCTGTTCGTCAAGAAGGAAAAGGAAAGAGATTCCGTTGAGCACATTGGCTAACAATTTTTTGCAAGTGTCATATGCTACTCTCCTAAGAGCTACTGACGAGTTCTCTTCGGCTAATTTGATTGGTGCAGGCAGTTTTGGGTCTGTGTACAAAGGAATTCTTGATGATAATGATAAACATCAACTTGTTGCTGTGAAGGTGTTCAACTTGTTACGCCATGGAGCATCAAAGAGTTTCATGGCCGAATGTGAGGCTTTAAGAAACATCAGGCATCGAAATCTTGTCGAGATTATAACTGCGTGTTCAAGTGTTGACTTTCATGGTAATGACTTCAAGGCTCTGGTTTACAAGTACATGGACAGAGGAAGCTTAGAGGAGTGGCTGCATCCTCCTACTGAAATTGGCGAGGTAAGAGAGGGACCTAAGAGTTTAAATCTAGATCAACGGCTAGAGATTGCCATTGATGTTGCTTGTTCATTGGATTATCTTCATAATCATTGTGAAACACCGATAGTTCATTGTGATCTCAAGCCGAGCAATGTTCTTCTGGACAACGAGATGACTGGACATGTTTCTGACTTTGGACTAGCAAGATTTCTCTCCCAACAAACTGGTACTAATGCTTCAGAAAATCCAACAAGTTCCATTGGAATAAAAGGAACAGTTGGTTATGCTGCTCCAGGTAAATGGTGTCCTTTTTTCTTTTTAAATCTTACAAAGTAGCTATTTTACTAACAATTGTGCTGATAACATCTTATGATGTTTGAATGGTAGAGTACGGTATGGGAAGTGAGGTGTCAACAAATGGTGATGTCTACAGCTTTGGTATTCTTCTGTTAGAGATGTTCGTAGGAAAGCGACCCACCGACGACATGTTTAATGGGAACCTAAACCTTCATACTTATGTTAAAATGGCTTTCCCTAATCGAGTTATGGAGATTGTAGATTCAACACTTTTTGAAGGAGGCACCAACGAGAGAACGGTTCAAAGGATTGAGGTGTGCTTGAATTCAATATTTAGAATTGGAATTGAATGCTCTACTGAATCTCCAACGGACCGTCTGAAGAATATCAGTGATGCTGCATCTGAACTGCATTCCATTAGAGACGTTCTTCTCGGATAGGAACTTTTCCTGCCACGGGTTTGTGTGTGATGGGGATATTATTTTTTTATGTGCTGCCTGAGAAATATTCTTCTTGTTGCTGCTAGCCTGCTACTGCTACAGTAGATGGGAGTTCTGCTACTAGTATGTCGTTTTATTTGTGTGTTTAGGCCTGAAGCCCTTAGAAATGTGATCAAAGCTATCAAACTACCGCATCTGGTGTAAATCTCTTATCTTAAATAAATCTGAAAGTACACTTGATCCTGTTGTTTGGTCCGAATACGTTCTCTAAAGACTATAACGGCCATTTCCTAAGCCCATGCCTATTAATTGTGAAGCAAGTTTGTTCATTACTTACAAAGGGCCTAGTGGTCTTCCAAAGATAATTGCATGCTTGCAAACGGGCCTAGTTGTCTAGCTAAAAAGTGTGTCTAAAAAACCATCGTCCCCTTTATAATTTAGACTATCAATTGTATTCAAAAATTAAAAACAACAAAAATATAATCGCATACTCACATGAGCTAACCCATTATAGTTATTGCCCTATCTTTCATGATTGATTTTCCTCCCATGTATAGTATAAAGGTGTCTTTATTCATCTGTTTAATTAATTAAGTATTGAAAGTTGGAATTTTTTATGTTACTTTTGTTTGGTTCAGCAAAAAATTTAAGTTGATCAGTTCATATTCATTGTTGGTGAATAATGCAGGGAACTAATAACATGTAGGTAGGTGTGCTGAATTAGTTTGACTGGTGAAGTAGGTGGTGAAGTAATAGCCAACAAACAAATAAAACAGAAAAAGAATAGCCAAAATATCTGTGTGACAGCCCATATCCCTCAGTTCCCTTCTTTACTCTCGTCGTCTCATGTGCTCTCACTCGTCATATACCCTTTCTTCATATATATAGTCTTTCTTCTCCTCCTGTGCCGCTCTCTTGACCTTACCGAATACCCAAAAGGCAGAAAGAAGACACTTCCAGCCATGGAAAAATATATCCAATGACTCCCTCCGATTAATTTTCAGGTTGTCATTAGTTTCTTCAAGCATAGAACTCTTAAATATGCAACTGGATTGTTGGTTGCTTTTTGGCATGGGTAATAAATTGTCACAATTGTTTTCAGTTTATTTTCAATTGATTCAATAAATTGAGCTTATACTTTTATCCAACAGATTAATAGAATGGTTGATGTATCTAAATTGTTGTTAGTCCTGTTTGCTTTTTTTAACTTAATTCTATCATAATAATTAACGCTTGTCATTTTCCAACTTTATGTCAACAGAGTTAAAACCTCTGCAAAGGAGAAGAAAGAACATCAGCCAGTTGCACAACAAAACCAGCAAGAGCTAGATCCCCTTGCAAGAAACATCAAAGAAGAAAAATCCCCGTCCACCACCAAGTAACATATAGATAAACACATGTACAAGCTTCATATCTCTCATGCCAAAAACAGGGGTTGTAAATGATTGATTAACAGCAGAAAAGGGGCACATGAACAGGGGATGGTGGCAAATGACGCTTATTGTTTTTTGTTATTTTTTTAAGTTCTAGAAAATCCTGATTTAATTTGTGTTCATCAATTGAGTATCGAAGTTTATTTGTATTTCTATGGAAATGTGGGATTATATGTTGAAATTTGTTGTGCTGGAAATTTGGATGAGTTTGAATGTTTGATGTGATGGAAATTTGGATTATTTTGATGAAAATATTGATGTTTGTTAGCAACAAGTTCTGTTTCGGGATTATTTGATGAAATATTGATATGTTTGTTTAACATGTTTTGTTAATTTGTAAGCATGTTCTATATTATAAGACAACTGATGCCTATAACTAGAAGTAGTATCAACACTATTGTTTTTTGTGATGTTGTTGTAAGTCAAAAAAAGCATAAGTGTAGTAGAGAATTCTGATGCTATAAACCATGTTTAGAATCATAACTATTAAAATTACCGATGTCGTTGCAGGTTTAGGCATTGGGTTCAATATGTTTTTGGCACACAAAAGGCACTTTAGCATTGGTGTTTAGGACAAAACTAATGTCATAAATATATAAGGGCAACGAAGAATATCTGATGTCTATTAATAGGCATCAGTGAGTAATACCAAGGTAAATAGAGTGCTTTGGCAACGGATATTAATTTTATTATAATTTTAGTCCATCGTTTAAGTAGGATATATCTTGATAGTTAGAATGAAATGAAATGAATTAGAATGGTAATTTTAATAATTTTTTCGTGGGAATGTTTTTAGCCTTATGAGAGTGATGTCAATACTACTGCTACGTCGTTTTGTTGGTGTGTTTTGGGCCTACAGGCTGCGTCCCTAGAAATGTGATTAAAGCTATCAAACAACTACATCTTGTCTCTTATCTTCAACGGAGAGACTATAATGCGGAGATGCTGTGCGGAGGTTATTTGCGGAGACTACTGACTGGGCCGTTAGATTGATCAAATGGCTAACATTAGTATCCTCTTTATGCTACAACTGGGTTGGCATTACCCGTTGAGCAATGTTGAATCGAAGTATTATTGTTTCTCTACTCAATTGAGATTTTAAAAGACTATTTAGAGATAAAAAAGTCTAGTAGATTTAACAAGAACATAATGACTTATAGGATTTTATTTATGGATTTATATAATAAAGATTTTTTACTTAAGGATTTTAAAGATTTCTATAATAGGATTTATAAGATTTAAAAGGACCACATGGATTTTTTCTGGGTTCGACATAAGATTTTTTTAGAAGAAATACACCCGTAAAAATTAAAAGCTATTATTTCATTGTTTGTATGTCTTTCTCAATACAAAAATAAGTAAGAAATAATATTATTTCATCAACTTCCAAACTCTTGCTGCCCCGTACCAGCATCCCATGCTTAGCATACAGGTTTGCCAATTGCACAACCACACTCTGGCTCCAATTGCACAGGTTTGCCACACTATCTGCAGCCTCAATGCCAATCCACACGCTTCCATGAACCTTACACTTACATGAACCTTATAGGATGAAAGGCTGCGACGTAAGGCTGTGCTGGGCATATATACCTTGCAATCATGGAGTTCCAAGTTACATTATCTTTGCCTTCCAAGATACATTACTTAGTTGTAGTTCTTTCATTAAGTAGGTTTTGGCTCTGGTGACTTTTTAGGGTCCACTTTACTTAAATTTATGAAGGCCATTCTCGATTATGAAACAACTGACCAATAACTTTACAGTGCTCTAAAAGATTTCTTAGTTGACTTCAACTTTTATGGCTTAGTTTGTGACTGTCAGTAATGACTTGTTTATTGAGATGACAACCCTATCACTTGCTGGCAGAGAGCACTTTTGCCATGCCCAAGAGCTACACTGCCTGTGCAAGCACTCAGAATACTTGCATACGTAAAATCATTTGGTTTTGAAGAATGCCTTATCTCACTAAAAAGCTGCACACACACATCAACCTGCCACTCTTGTGCAAACCCTGAAATAATGGATGTCCATGACACCACATTTCTCACAGGCATTTCATCAAACGCCCTATAGGCAGTCTGTAACTCACTGCATCTACCATAAAACTTACCAAAGATCTTCCAATATACACATTGGCAACAAACCCACTTCTTATTGGTCAATTATAGAATCAGAGGAAAAAAAAACAGAAAAACTCTCTATGTGCCCCTCCATGTCTTCTATCTCGTCAGCCCACCGCCCCACTGCCCCACCACAGAAAAATCAAAGAACAAAGTTGAGATTTTTATTTGTGAATTGGGGGGTTGAAGGTGATGGAGAATTCACAAGATTTTATTATGCAACAAAAAGGGAGATGGGGATGGAAGGAAGGTCGTTGCCTACACCCAACAGCAAGTAGCTCTAGGTATTGATGGTTTGGTCGTTAGGGACAGTGCACAACTGCTTGGGCGGAGGTCAAGGTGAGGAAGGAATTAATAAAAAAAGTCTCACGTGAAAATCTGATGGGTTAAGGTGGGATTTGAGATAGGGTTTGGTATTTATACCTCTCACTGAAAAATCTCACATATTCCGCATTTTAAAAAAATCCTTCAAAATTAGCAATTTTTTGAATACCATAAGACTTTTTGTTACTTGTTTAAAGTCTTGATTGAATACCACCAGATTTGGTAACCCTCTTTAAAAAGTCTTAATAGTCTTAATGGAATACCACAAGACTTTTTAGATTATTTAAAAGTCTTAATTGAATACCACAAGACTTATTTATCCCAAAATAGTCTTTTAAAATCCCAATTGAATACACCCCCCTCTATCTCTCTCCCTTTCTTTTTTTAATTAGTTTTTCTCTTTTCTCTCGGTTGTCTCCCTCTTTCTTTTATTATTCTTCTCTCCGTTGCCTCCCTTCTCCTGCTTCTTCTCCTTCTTAACAAACAGGGCTAAGCACACAGACAACAACTAAACACAATCAATCTAGGCTAGTTATTTTATTTCCTCCGCCAGTTATTTTCTTCCTTTTCCCTCTCCTTCTTCCTATTTCTCTTGTTTCTCCATTTGTTTCTCCACACAAAAAAAGTCTGCATTTCTCTCCTTTTCTCTATGATGCTACTGATTTAGATCTACTAGGAATTGAGTTTTTGTGTTTCTGATTCCCACAGTTTCAGACTCCAGCTTAATAAGTAAAAATAAATGATTTTTTGTTTTGAGGGGAGAACAACTCCAGTATTTGGCCTTTACCCAAATTTATACACATGCAGAGTTTGATGAAGACTGATGGAGAGAAGAAAAGACGCAGAGAGAGAGAGAGAGAGAGAGAGAGAGAGAGAGTTATTCGAGAGGGAGTGGGAGAATTAAATGGTGATCTGGGAGTTCATCTCTTTGATAATGTCCCTGAGTGGGTGGGCTCGACTCTCGCAGATGATATTGCTAGTGTTCACAGAACTCTTGTTTGAGTGTTGTTTCTGGGGCTTGGCCCCCTTAGCTCATCAAGAGAGAGAGAGAGAGAGAGAGAGAGAGAGAGAGAGAGAGAGGCAAGAAGAAAGAGATACAATAATTTTTTTATTTTTTTTAAAGGAGAATACATTTGGGAACGTATACGCGTGTATAGCAATTACTTTGGCAAGTGAACAGCATTGCTCTTACCCGTTTTAAAAAAAACCAGATCCTGCAATCAAGGGTGTATTTCCCAAGTGAACACATTCCAAGGTGAGTTAGAATGAAGATTTAAAAACAAAAACTATTTAGAAAATTGAAAGGAAGAAAAGTTATTCCCGCCCCTATAAAATTCGTCCTGTTCTCCTTCCTCCCCCTCCCATCAGCTGAGAACTATAGCCAACATTCCTCCAAGCTATCCAAGAAAAACCCGTCAATAATGAAATCTTAGAAATAAAAGAAAAGAGAGAAACTCATTAGCACATGAAATGGTCCCTTCACACGGCAAAATAACAATAAAAAAATAATTTAGGGTAAAAAACATTAATAAATATAAAGGTTAAAAAGTAATATAATAATAATTTAGGATAAATAATAATATAATAATAATGTAGTGTAACCATGATCCGGGGAATTCAATAAGGAAGACGAAGTCTTAATGAGTTCGTAGCAATTTTCGGAACATTCTTTAACTTTTTGTGTATTTAGTTATGAATTTTATAAGAAAAAAATAATAAAATAATAATTTATGGTAAAAGGTAAGGATGTGGCCATGTTGACTGACGTACATGTGTGCAATTGCTGAAAGGTGATGCGCTCAGGTCGCGCCATGTGTCTATTAATTGCATTTATTTTGACTTTTTTAGTGCAAAATTCTTGAAAAAATGGTAATAAATAATAGGAAAATCGAAAAAATGCCCCGAAAATTGCTCCGGCCTCCTTGTGACGTTATATAACTTGGGGAAGCTATAAATCATCCATTTCATAATGAAAAAATATAAACGTATTTTGATAACTCACTTTCCTCTCAACCCTAGCTATATATCCTTATTAATTTCAACTTCAATAACCTACATCAACAAACATCTCCCATGAATGTTTGAAATCATTTTTTAAAATGCCTAACCATTATCCAGGGAGCTCAGTAAGGAAGATGAAGTCTCAATGAGTTTGTAGCAATTTTCGTAACATTTTTTCTATTTTTGTGTATTTAGTTATGAATTTTATAAGAAAAAAGTAATAAAATAATAATTTAGGGTAAAAAGTAAGGATGTGGCCATGTTGACTGACGTACACGTGTGCAACTGCTGAAAGGTGATGCACTCAGGTCGCGCCATGTGTCCTTTTGCTTTTATTTTGACTTTTTTTAGTGCAAAATTATTGAAAAAATGGTAATAAATAGTAGGAAAATCGGAATGTCCCAAAAATTGCTCCAGCCTACTTGTGACGTTATAAAACTTGAGGAATCTATAAATCATCCATTTCATAATGAAAAAATACAAACGCCTTTTGATAACTCACTTCCCTCTCAATCCTCGCTATATATGCTTATTAACTTCAACTTCAATAACCTACATCAACAAATATCTCCCATGAATGTTCGGAATAATTTTTTAAAATGCCTAACCATGATCCAAGGAATTCAGTAAGGAAGATGAAGTCTCAACGAGCTCGTAGCAATTTTCGGAACATTTTTTCAATTTTTGTGTATTTAGTTATGAATTTTATAAGAAAAAAGTAATAAAATAATAATTTGTGGTAAAAAGCAATGATGTGGCCAGGTTGACTGATGTACATGTGTGCAACTGTTGAAAGGTGAGCACTTAGGTCTCTCCATGTGTCCTATTGCGTTTATTTTGACTTTTTTTAGTGCAAAAATTCTTGAAAAAATGGTAATAAATAGTAGGATGATCCAAAAAATGCCCCGAAAATTGCTCCAGCCTCCTTGTGACATTATAAAACTTGGGGAAGCTATAAATCATCCATTTCATAATAAAAAAAATCCAAACGCCTTTTGATAACTCACTTTCCTCTCAACCTAGCTATATATCCTTGTTAACTTCAACTTCAATAACCTACATCAACAAGCATCTCCCGTGAATGTTTGGAATTTTTTGATAACTCACTTTCCTTTCAACCGAAAAAATATATTTTGCAATAACCAACATTACAAGTATATTTCCTTAATGTTCATTATCTAATTTTTAATAATAAAAGTATTAGTTTCCTTTCATATATAAGGCTGTAAAAGTATCTGTTTTGTTATAATAATTAGACAATGATTTGAAGTCATCATGAGTGCTTGCGTCTAGATCTTTGAACACGTCAAAGGTGTTCAATAAGTTGTCAATACGACGCCGTATGGTGAATCAGTCAAGTATCTCTATTATGTCCAATCACATAAAATGATGGCACACTTTTTCTGAAAAACCTCACACATCAGTCAGAACCATTTTTAAAATATTACTGAATATTTCTCCTCATCTATATGAGTGACTATATCTTCACTCTATTTTTTTTTTCTCAATATATGTTTACTTTGAGGGATTCCACAAATATATAATACAGCTGAGTTCTTGAGAACATTCTGTGGTGTGTGTGTATATATATATATATATATATATATATAGAGAGAGAGAGAGAGAGAGAGAGAGAGAGAGAGAGAGAGAGAGGTTGGGTTGGGGATGGGGTGGCTTCGCTGGTTTTTTTTTCTCAGTTGGCTGGTGATAGGGCTGGAAGAAGGGAGAGAGAGTTGGGCTGGGATGAATGAATTTCCTCCCTTTTTTTCTAATATATATATATATATTTTTTTTTACAGATTCTGATTTTCTACCAAATTTTACAAAGAAATGTTCATGTACCATTTTCATCATGAACTTCCCATAGATTTTAGATTAATAATCATGCCCACTTTTTCTATTTTGATTGTTCTCTCATAATTCTTCTTTTTAAATGAAATTTGAAAAAGTTTCTTTCTTTGTTTGGGTTTTGGGTTTTTTTTGTTTTTTTTTTTTTTTTTTTTTTTTTTTTATTTTGATGGACAAGATAATATTTGAAGAGATGCAAATTGAGCCAATACAAGTTGATTTGGAGGATTTCTGAATGCATAAGAAGTAAGAGCAAAAGCATCATGTGATTCAATTTGGGGTGGGTGTACTGATAAGAGTATGGCTGTCTGGGGGGTAGGGGTAGGGGGTTGGGAGGGGGCTGGGGTTGTTATTTAAGAGCAGTTCCAGCAGCCCGCTCGGGCTGGGGGGGGGGGGGGAGAGCCCAAAATGGCATTCCAGCAACAAGTGCTGGCCCGGGCAGTGTGGGGTCCACTTGCCTGGGCTGGCCCGAAGGCAGGGGCTGCCCGAGCAGCAGCCTGAAGGCAAGCTGACGTCATCGTGACGTCAGCAGGTGCAATTTTTTTTTCTTTCTGCTGCCACATGGCGCGATCTGGTCCTTCCAATTTTCGAATTTTCATCCAATCCAACGGCTTGGAATTTTTCAAGGCAAAAAATTATTTAAAAAAATCGTAAAAATTTTTTAAAAATCCCAAAAAATACTGAATTTTTTTCTATAAATACCAATCCATATTCTTCACTTTTAACAACAAATTCACTTTCTACTCAATAATTTTTTCACT